AGTCAATACCTTGGGGGCGTAGGTTGAATAGACCCTTAGACCCTAAACCCTTAAACCCTAAACCCGTTAACCCTATACCCTAGACCCTGAAATAATTGTCAAACCCTAAACCCTTAAATCCTAAACCCTTAAATCCTTAAACCCTAAACCCTTACACCCTTAACCCTTAAACCCTAAACCCTTACACCCTAAACCCTTAAACCCTAAATCCTTAAACCCTAAACCCTTAAACTGTTAAACCAAAATTCTTAAACTGTTAAACCCTAAACTCTTAAACCCTTAAAACCTAAACTCTTAAACCCTTAAACCCTAAACCCTTCAATCCTTAAACCCTTAAAGGGCTGATGTCACAGGGCTGAGCTGTTACAGGCTGAATCCGTGATCCCGTTCGCTGGGAGCCACCGATCCAGTACAACCACAGACTGATCTGATACGCTGATCCGTTACCCAGCGCCGTTACGGACACACCATGATCCAATACCTACAGCTTCCCTCTGAAGGCACCGGTTTGACGGCGGTGTGACTTTCCAGCCCACCCTGCCTGTAACGGGTGTAGTCCCGGACCACCGTCACGGAGTCGTGATAGCTGTCCTGGCACTTGAAGGTGCTTCAGGCAGACTGTTCTGATGACTTGCAAGCTTAGCAGCAGCATGGAGCATGGTGATGTCGGGATAGCTATGCGAGAAGCCTTTGGCCTGAGGGATTCATTTCCAGCATGTTTCCCATCTTAACACTCACTGACTCACTACGTGGAAGTGTTTATGAATAGAATGTCTGCCAAATCACCAGCAACAGTGTTGCCTGGCTTCTCAAATTCCCCTATTACAACCTTTGCTCACCAGAGCCACGCGCACGAGACGAAATCCACACAGACTCAGGGGCTGGGCCTAGACCAGGCAGCTAGCTGTCTTTCCAGCATTGAGTGAGTTCCTAAGCATCCTTCCCTCTTACTTCGCTGAAGAATACGGGCTCTATGGACGATTGGATTTCGACGGTGTCTGAAAACTTGTGACATGCTCCAGGATCCTTCTGCATCGCATCAATGGCTGCATGCACCTCATCCTCTTCTTTGGTACCTTTCCACGAAAGTAGCAGAAGGCTGCAGACAAGCAAGCCCAGCAGTTGCAGCAGCTACAAGCAGGTGCATTGCCAGAAGTCTTACTGGCAAGGCTGACAGCTGTCCCTTAAGCACGGTCTTGGCCTGCAAGCTCTGCGGGGATGGTGCTGTTCGGCTGCTTGTGGCAGGTGAAGCCTTGAAACTGCGAACAGCCATTGAGGTTTGGGCTCCTGGGTGGGTGCCAGGAACACCAAACAACCCACAACTGTGATGCATAGGTACGCCAGCAAAGATTAGAAACGAACGGATGGACCTGTCCCAGTCTTCAACCAATCTAGTTGAGCAACTGGGACTCGGCGTAAAGAACCACAGCACGAAGGCGCGCTACACTCAACCTCTATGTCAACACGCAGTAGATGTTGACTCCAGCCTTCGTTGAGGGCGGAGAGGAAGGCCGGCACGAACTGCGCTTTGCGAGAGACAATGCCTGTTGGTTGAACAAGAGGCCGGCGGAGCTTTGCACTTTTGGTTTCGAATTCTGACAAGATCAGCTGAGCACATGGAACGTACAAGCACATCATCAGGGCGGATGTCTGACGCTTTAAACCGAGATGAGAGATGCGCCACACTTCTAAATTCCAAACCTATCTCCCTAACTTGACTCTGAACCCAACTTGACTTACAGCTATGCAAACCCAAAATCACCAACAGTCTGGATCCGAGCTGCACCAGACAAACCTCAAACAAACACTAAGAAGACTCTCATTCAGTCTTTTTTTCTGCTCCTATACACGCCGCCTGCATTTTGGAAAATCTGTGCTCGAAGTCTCAGGCCTCCCACGTCCATCAGCGTCTCGTTGGCCTTTATGGTAGCGCCAGGTGCCCGGATGCCTGGCTTGGCCTCACAAGGTGTCATTTGTCTTCTGATTTAAGGTTTACCTAGATCCCACAACAGGCAAGCCCATCGCAAAGCTTGACACACAAGCCGTGTGCTTATGTAAAAAAGATCCCGTGCTGCAGAGCACCAAGCCGCCTGCCTCCCTAGTCTCCTTGCCAGGAAAGGCAGCTTTCGCCTGCAGTTCAAGGTTTTTGGGGAAGATGCGCTTGGCGCTCCCTCTGTTTCATGAAAGTGCCACAGTCAGACCTTCCTGCAAGGCCGCACAATTTGAAACTTTTAGAATCCAAAACGGCAGAAGCCTAACTTCATGAAGCTCACCAACACAGGCATTCCAAAGCTGCTTTTTGGAGATTCTGCTTGACGCGTGTCAGCGTGCAGAATGCGTCACCAGCATCCAAAAGCTGAAGTGCATCAAGTCTCTAGAGCCAGCTCACGACCACCAGCCACGAGAAGGATTGACTGCTGCCTGCAACAACAGTTGAATGTGAGTAATTCTTTGGGCGAGGGGCACAGGGCGTGGATTTCTCAAGCTAGGTAGGCCTTGTCACGTCCACAACAAAGAGGTAGGCAAAGTCAAGCTCCTGCTCAACGCAATGCTGGTGAACAGAAGCATTCTCGAAATCCAAAGCAACTACTTGTTTAACACACGGACAGGCGTCCCCATGATACTTGCATACTCATTCCTTGTCAACCTGAACATGGCAGCGTCACATGCCTGAACTGAGGACTGATGAGTCCTTGCGGCGGTCGTGCGTGCCATCCTTCAGCGCTCCCTTCTCGACCTTGCAGGTGGAGAAGTCTCCGAATTTGTGCTCATCGGCCCTGAGACTGCCCTAACACCAGAGCCGTGGATACTTTGTGACCAATTTCGAGAAAGGGGCGCTAGTTCAGTGCCCTACTACCAAAACCTTCCTGTCTGATCAGCTCATCAGCACATGGATTACTTTGGAGCCCAACTTTCAACAGTAATTTCCAGCCTCCCTGCGTCGACAGCTGGTAGCATACAGGTGGCTGGGTGAAACGCAGTCGAATCCCAAGGGTTCATTATTGAAGCAAACCTGCCGAGCACATGTAAAGATGTCAATCACAACATCCACCCCTTCAAAGCCAGCGAACAAGTGCCTTCGTAGAGCTGCTGGCGTTCTTTCCCATAGTCTCCCCACACTCCAAAAGACGATCAACGCTCCAAACTCATGTTGACAGGCTCCGCTCTTCAACCCTGCAGGCTGCTGCCTTTAAGATCCGCAATTCCATCAGAAGCTCCTGCATCAGTATTTGTTCAAGTCAGCTGCTGGCTTAGGGATGCCAGCAGCTGCATGGCTGTCTCCTAAAATCAGGGCCCCTGGCAGACGCGTGCCAAGGTAAACTCGATAATTCAGGCATTGGCACTGTAGGTCCTATGGGTCCACTAGAGACTGCTGTGTAGACAGACTGTACAGTGATGACCCGTGCCAAGCTTGCAAAAAAGGGTCTAAATGGTGCACAATTTTCGAAAAATGCACACAGATTCATCGTGGATTAACAAAGCTGTGTGGGATTGTGGGAGTGAGGTCTGGTCAGCAACGTGGGTTCGAGAGCATTACAACTTTTGAAAAGCCGATGGCAAGGATCGAGAACAAGCCTCCATTCCTGGGCCTCCACCCCCCAAGAACCAATCTCTACACAGCTGGGCTCCTCCGCAACCTTCAGCACTGGATCAGGATCTGTAACCTCGAGGACTGCGATGCCGACCTGTCCGCTCTGGTAGCTAAGCTTCTCGCTATCAAAGGAGGGAACCCCTGAGGTGGCCTTCTCTAGGAGCCTGTGCCTCTGACTCATGGAATGGACACCGCTTCAGATTCAAAGTTGCTTGGATGCAGGAACCAAAGCCGGGTAAAGCATGTAATTTCCTGCAGTGGCAGAACTGTGGGGCCTTTACCCAGTTCTCAGCTCAGGCAACTGCTTCATTGAAACGAGTTCTTCTTGCTAATCTCTGCGGCCTTCCATCCCTTGGCCGTGAAGTCCTTTTGGTCACCTGAAGCTGTCGTCGGCTTATTCATCAAGGAAGGCTCCAGAGTAATAATGCTTCTCGTCTTCGACCGCTTGGCTTCGGCTTTTAGCATTCCTGGGTTATGGTGTTGGAGAAACAAGTAGTTGGGCCTACTGGGCTTCTGCAGACGCAAGTGACAGGCTTGATCATGCAGCAGAGGAATTTGGGTCTAAATACAGCGTTGGGCCGGGCTAGTCTGGAGACTTGTAATTGAACACTGGCCACCCTTTCAGCTCTATCCATGAGCGCAAGGCAGCTTGGCAAGCCTGGGCCCTTGGGGTGGTGAGTCTTCCGCTGAAGCCAGAAGAACTAGCAGATACGTCTGCCTGCATGATATGTGTACAGACGGTGTACAGCGGAAAGTCTTAGAGGCTGCGCTAAGCCCCCACAAACTCAGATGGTCGGGGGTGTGACTCGGGCATCAACGCACGGGATCACCTCAATCACCACAAAGCGACTTCAGCCAGTGCAAATCTATTGATCCCAACATGCTGGACTCCGAAACTGCAAAGTTGAGAAAAGATTTGGGCGAATCCCAAGATGCCGCAACTCTAAGCGCGACGGGGCGCCTAAGGTCACGAGTCTACATCTCATGGTCATACGCGGGACGTCCCTAGATTTGCGAGAAGCCTCTCGTCATCTCATAGGCGCCAAGTCCTAAGCAAGTGTGGGATGAAGGCAGGCCCGGGGACCACTGCAACAAACGACCTTCAGTGAGCGAACAGATTGCAGATGGAGGCAGATGTTGACGGTGACTTGATGAGATTTCTCGTGTTTCCAGGTTCATTGGAAAGTTGCAGAGGGAGGTTTGGGTAGCCATGTGAATCCTTGGGTCAAGCCATGTAAGCCGACTCCTAATAGAAGCGAAGCCCAACAGGAAGGCACAGAAATCTGCCGTCCACGGAGCCAACGATCCACTCCGTCTTCGCCCGAAACCTGGGCGCAGACGATGGGCACGACTGCAGGCTGAAGAAGTCCAGAGTCGCAAGATGAGAGTTTCCGGGATGGGTTGTTCTTAGGTAGTTGCAGATCAAGACACCACTGGTTTTGAGTGAGGTCATGGCACAGGGCATCCAGCTTATGCCAGGCTGCGGCTCTGCATTGGGGACAGAAGAATCAAATACATGGAACAACCGAATGAGTAAAAACACCTCGGCCCTAGCCCTTGCGAAGGGTGGAGTGACAGAAAAGCGGCCAGGAGATTGCCTGCGAGCTCCAGCCCAAAAAGGGACTTTTGGGGACTGCTTGCTTCATAGCACTTCTGAGATGACGAGGAACATGCACCGAGCAAGTTCATCTGGATCTTCGCACTCGCCCAGGAGGCAAAGCACCTGTGTTCGGCAAGCTATAGACTGAAGCTGCGAGACCGCATGTGATACTTGAGGCTCGGAAAGTTGTCACGCGCGCAGATCCACATCCAGATGCCCTGTTTGCTGGGCGCTGTGGGATTCCCACATGGGCTGAAGGCCTTCCCCTCAGCAAGGCTTTCTCAGCTACCCTAATCAGCATTCCCAGGAAATACTGTTCAGATTCCAAGCTCACAGCCCTGTCGAGAGTTGACAATGAAATACGGGATGAAGGTTGCTGACTGCAAGCCCCCTGGCTCCAAAGGCCTGAAGCCTCTAACTCCAAAGCAGGAGAAGCTACTTGGAAAGTCTGTTATCTCGCACCATGAATTTCACAAATGTACGAGAAAGTGTGATTGCAGCAAACTGTATCAAACTCGCATTGGTGTTCGATAAAGGCACGCTCGCTCAGACTTTGAATTTTCTAGGTTAACGGACTTCAGGCTTGTTGAAGGCCCCAGGCACTGTTACGACGAAGCGATCTGCGTTGGTGGTGGTCACGCTCTGCAGGTTCCTCCAGTGGTCGTCGCTGATGCTGCGATGCTCTTCTAGCTTGTCTAATCACAGATTGATCGCACTCAGAACCTGCTAGCTTGAAGCCTCAGACTTGCATGATCAACAGGCCCCTAGGACGGGCCCCATCACAGATGCGCCAATGGCCATCGTTATCAAGATGTTGTCCTACGGTGAGCTTCTACGTCATGATTCAGAGATTTAGGCCCACAGGCTTCGCTTGGACCCAGTGCAGCACATCACACAACAGCTTTCGGGTTTCTGGCTGATGAGGCTGCGGTTAATCAAGTTGTCCAAAACGATACTCGCAAAGGGTCGAACGCTTTAAATTTAGCACAACCCAGCTGGTTTCATCCAAATCACAACAAATCTCCAACCCCGGCTGTGGATTGAAAAAGTAGCCAAGGCTCAGCGTGTCGGACAAGATGGCAGACAGCAGAATTCGCGCGATGGGCTTTGGGATCATGCGATTTCCTCCTGAGCCATCCAGGGAGCGCTTGTCGAAATTTCAACCAGTACAAATAACGGGCACTAACTTTTCACGCCTTATCAACAGCATGGTTGCCCTTGCCCTCAACCCTGCTTCCATCATAAACCGCGTCAAAGACAGGGACAAAGGCCAAGGAACGGATGAAGGAATGAGCAATGATGCTGCTCATGGACCCCCACGGTCGGACATCCATGAAAAGGGGCTTCCTGAGCTCCAAAGAAAGAAACCAGTAGTGTGGAGGTGAGTGTGGCGGAGTTTGGTGGGTTGGTGCTGCGTTGTCTCATTGAGGCCTACGGTCTTCGCTAATTGTCAGCACAAGCCGCTCAGAGGCCATGGACTCGGCGAGCGCGTGGTGATCGATCAGGCCCACAATGCGCTTCTTCCGATTCTGCGGCCACTGGGGTGTTTGGGCAAAGGGGCTTTGAATTCCCGAGTTTCTGGTTAGGTTTAGCGTAGAATCCTCCCACGGGCAGCCTGAAACTTTCGGGACACTGGCCTTGGGCACTCAGTGCCAAAGTCTTTGTCTTACAACAACTGCTTTCCACGTTTTCCACACCGAGCAGCAGGATCATCCCGCAGCGCTGGAATCATCTGCTTGTCCTGCGACGCACCACATGCTAGCTGTCAGGGAAGACCAAAGGCACGCGTTTACACATCCCATCACAAAAACCAACTGAAGATGCCGCCTGAGTCATCCTCAAACTGCCATACTTGGTTTGGACTGCTCCCGGGTCCAACCCGACAAAGTCTCCCAGACAACTGCACCATACTTTCGGTGTGCAAATCGGATATGTGGCATTCGCTGAAACTAAGCTTGGAGCTCTAGGGACTCATGAATTTGTTTTGGATTTAAAGTAAATTCACCGCTAGCATCAGGATGGCAACGTCAAGCAAGCCTCGTTGTGGTCCACGAGGCAGATGGAAAGCATGTCCTAAGTCCCATCCCATCCATCCCAGACCCAATGCTTACAAAGCATAACAAACTTGCCAGCCAAGCAATAACATGTTCTACAATTACTCTTTTGCCAACACAGGGTGATCACTTAGAAGTCACACTGCTGTTAGGTCACTCCCTTCTCATTGGGCTTCGCTGCACCAGGGATATCATCGAAGTACGGCGGCATCCTTGGTGTCCCGGCTCTGAGGGTGAAAGACTTGGACTTGGCACTTGGAGATGCAGCTTCAGATGGTAGAGGCTGCGTCATCGATGACATAATGTAGTCTCCCAGCTTTGCACTGAAGGCGCGGTAGCATGGCCGCGGCTGACTGAAGAAGGCAGGACTTCTTACCAACAGTCTTCTAGGCTTGTGTTGGAGTCGCACATAACAAGAACGAAGTTGCAAGATAGCCACAGTCAAGAAATTCTAAATGGGACCGCATTTGACCATCAGGGGTCGTTGCGCTGTGAGACACAAGCAATGGAGACAGACGTCAGCTGAAAAACCTGAACCCAGTTGAAACCGGCTCCTTCACCCAAGAGGCTCCAGGCCGGCCCATTTGAGTGCATACCTTGGATGCCGCTGATTCACGGAAAGCTTTCTGGTTGACCTTGTACTGACAACTGTAAACTCAAACGCGGCTACACTTTGATCGTGGCTGTGCCCCGGCTTCTTCACCTACAAGCACATTCTGCGGGTTCACATAATCTCGCCATTCAGCTCCTTCTCGGCTCTGGCAGCCGTGCCTGGCAAAATAAAGACACGTGACAAGGGCATTCTAGCAACTTCATGTTTTGGGGCCTGCAGGAGTTGTGGCGAAGCCTGGTCCTGGCACCACCTGCATTGTCAAGTCCCCAAGCCTCGCCATAGAGCCGCAGCACCGAGCGCCCCAGCAACCGAGTCAAGATCTGTCTTGACGTGCCCCACAAACCTCTGTGTGCTGGAGACAGGGCTTCAAGGGTTCAAAACAATGTGTGAGCCATGAAAATTCGCCTGAAGGATCTGCACGGCATTCCACTGATTCTACTGCATTCACCCTGTGTGGGAAGGTAACATGATGCAATGTGGCATTTGCGCGCTGTCCACATGTGGGTCAGGCTTCAGAATTGCACCAGTGCCCGCTTCCTGCTTCATCTGGCAACACCCACGAGCAAAGTTACTGGATCCCCTTCTTGCGATGTTTCGGATTCTCTGAAGAGCCAGGGCACAAGCAGCCTTGAAGAATCTTCTCCACACCTTGCTGGCTCTCTGCCCTCGTCTCAGATCTCCCTCCTGCTTACCGTGACCAACATGCAGTGAGGCGTAGCCAGGTTCAGGCTGCAAATGACAAGCTCACATGGTTCATACTGCACGGGCACTCAACAATCCGAACTTAACACCAAAAACGCATCTGGATTCAAGCCTCAATGCAGTAAGCGCCAAAGATGCCACCGAGACGCAAAGCTGCTCAATAAAGGCTTCTGCATTTGGATTCGAAACCTTCTCCTGCCAAGCGTTTCAACAAGCACATGCAAAAGGCCCACCGCATGCCACAGACCCATGGGCATGTCCTGGAACTCCTCGGCAAGGTCCCTTGCCATAGCCTTGTACTCCTCCATCGCCTCCTCAGTGTGGCTGCAGGATATCAGGGGGAAATGAAATCAGTTTTGCAGGTTAAAAGCTAGAAGAGATGGTTTCTCGTGGAGATTTGTGAATTCTTCAAGTTTGCGGGTGGTGGAAAGTCACTTCTGCCTATTACACAGGCTGCGGTCTAGACCCAACTGTGAGCCTGAGTCATCCATAAACACCTCTTCTACAAGCTGAACCAGATGCGTCTGAACCCAAAAAAGATTCTGCAGCGAAGATGAGAAGTCTGTCGATGCCTTCTGCTACTGCTGGAGGCAGAAACAACAAACAGGAACTTCATGGCTGGTTCAACCTTGACATTCAGGTACAGTTGCAACTTACACGCGCAACTTCGCCAGCCTGGGTCTTGCTCAGCTCCATGAGGCACCCAAACCTTGCATGTGTTGAGCTGCGTCTCCAACAACGCAAATCCTAGACCTTTAGACAAGCATGCACAACCCATACAACAAAATTCTCATAACAGTCAGGGGCGACGGTGCTTTGCTCGCTGGCTACCTCCGGAATACTCTTGGGAATCAACTTTCCAATTTCCATTTGTGCCCAACATGGTCTAAAATCATTGTACATAAACGCTAAGGCTGGAGGTCTCGCTCGCAGATTTGCCCCTCGCCGTCTTATCATGCAATATGGGATCTCTGAAATAGGCCGTGGTATTGCCGAACTAATCTCTGCAGTCTCCGCCTGCTTGCTTTGATGTGCCCGCCCAGTAGAATATCAGACTCAAACTTTCCCATGACCATGATCTCATAGGCAGACTGCTTCAGGACGAGCATTGCTGAGGTTCCCGACTCAGATTTAAACAATCCTGCACGACGTTCAATTTTTCCTTAGGACGTGTGGCTTTTCGATGTCCTGCTCCGTGCGAGTCCGCGTGCTCCGCGGGCTCAAGGATGGACTCCGAGGGTCCTCACAGAGGCCCACGGTGGACAAGCGTCATGCGCTGTTTGGAGTTTGGAGAGCAGAGCTCAACATATTCAACAAAGAGCTGTGAGCTTATGAGGCTAGCTACAGGCTCAGAATTCAGAGGAGGCACATAGGTTGTGGCCAAATCAGATCGCAGACTCGGATTGCTACTGGCCGAAACGGACTTGAAGGAAGTACTGGCTTTCCCGCTTACGCCTCCAGAGTTGCATCCACTCTCCTTTCAGTCCAGGTGGTGAAGGCGCGGGACCATAGCCACTACAACCACTCAACACATGTTCTGGCGGTTCAGAGTTCAACAAACCCGTAGTGAACACTAGACTCAAAAATAGCCCGACCCGGCACAGACTCGAAGCGCCCGGACCCGCACCTCTGCCCTCCTCTCAACAGCCTTCTCCGGCAGCTGGAGATCAGGAATTGCCTCATGAATCCAGGGATTTGCTGACAATCCTGGTTGGCTTACAAATGCCGCTCGAACTCAAGCAGAACACCCATCACCCAGCATGCACAAATTCCCAAAAGTTCTTGAATGCGTGTTGGGCAAACACTTGTGAAATGACATCCGTGCCCATGCGAGGAAAGGTTTATCCAAAGCCCAAGCACCTTTGCAATCGCCTCCCCATCGCCGTACAGGAATTTCAGCAGGTCCTCAAACCCGGGAAGTCTGAGCTACCTTCCAGTGCACCGAGTCCCTCGCTTCACAGCGCTTTCTCTGGTTTATACAGGAGGCTCCTCGATGTTGTCTGATCACTGAAGTGCAGTTGGAAAAAGTATCAAAATTCATGGCAGTACGTGCCCCGGCCCGTACCCCTGGTTAGAGGCTCCTGCTTGCAGCTACGCATGCATCGCCGTACACACCCAATCAGGCACACATCATGACTCGGATGGATGCCCCAGGCGCCCCTGTACAGATTAATCTTTTTGGCCGCACCAAATTGTCACATTCCAAAGAGGAAACATCCACTCTTTCAGCCTGAGGCAGGCGGGGGCTCTCGTCAAAAGCGAGGCCCAGACACCCACTTGGAGCGCTGCAAGCTCTTAGCAGGTAGACGGCCACAAGCGTCAAAAAAAGAAGCTTCAATTTGCAGTTGGAACCTTTGAATGGTCGCCAGAAGCCGCGCTTCGAATCAAGAATCCCTCTGTAAAGCACCCCTCTCCTCTGCACTGATATCACCGAGCTCGGTGGCCTTCACCTTTCTTTTAGCTTGATTTGCAGCTTGCTCAGGCAACAGTGCGTGAAGCAAGAAGCGATGGCTGAGGGCAATTGTTGCAGAAGAGATGCAGAGCTGTACAGCACGGCCAGGTCCTCCTCTCCTTTGTGTCAGATTGCATGGCGAAGTAAGCACCCACACCCTGCAGCTATGAATTTTGAACAAAGGAATCCCAAAGCCGATGTAGGAAAACAAGTCAACCTTTCAGCAGCCAATGATACCAATCAAGTGCCCGCCAAGGCTCCGAACAACTTCTGGAGCTGAGGCTTAGAAAGGGTCTGCCCGGCACGGAGTGCCTCGACTGGGGGAGGGATGGGACCTCACAAGCAGCCGCGACTTGCTACAAGAGGCGTACTTGCGAACCATACGAAAAAAATGAGCCTTCCAGAACATTAAGCAACAAAGAAGAATGTGCGTGGTCTGTAAATTCGGCCCAGGTATGTTCACCACGATGAGACTTCCAAGATTGCAGCAACCATGTACCTGAATGGTTGAAATCTCGGTATCCCAACGACCTCAAATTATACCTCGCGGTTAAAGCTTTGGTTGAGATTCCCACTTGAAGGATGTAGTGCCCTAATGTTGACTACTCTATCCTGCTGCAGGATGCCTCAGACAAGCGCGCATGGGCCGCCCGTGGCGCCATTGCAATGATCAGAATAAGGTTGAAATGGCCCCAAATCCACAAGATTTCAGCGGTGCTCAAGTAACAAGAGACAAGCCTTGCTGTATGGTGTCTTGTTTTCCGCGTGGCTTCGCCTGCATCTTCTTTCAACTCATGATTTTGTTGCAACACGAAGTCCTATGCCACATCCCCTTCAATCAGCTTGTCAAATGCAAAGAACCCTGCCCGCATCGAGTGGAGGAAAATGGCTGCAAAGCAGATGCGAACGCA